TTCATACTTGCTTTGTAAATAATTGGTCTACTACCTTTACTGCAGGTTGATTTTCACGGATGAAAAACATTTAGACTTAATATTTCCATCTAAAGAAGTCCATTTAATACACACTTAATGGGGGTGAATTCTTTTACCCTTCATATATCTGAGAAACTTTAATCTCTCCTTCAATTCTGAATGATAACCTGGCTTAGTAGAGAATTCTTGGTTGTAGGTTCTTCCCTTTCAATACATTAAATATTTCATTCCACTCCTTTCTGACCTGTACAGTTTCTGCTGAGAAATGTGCTGATAGCCTTATGGCATTTCCTTTAAAGTTAACTGTCTTGTCTCTTTCTTTTTGCTTTTAAAATTCTCCCCTTATCTTTAATCTTTGCCTTTTTATTCATGATATGTCTTGGTGTTGTCTTCCTAAAATTCATCTTCTTAAGGGCTCTCTGCACTTCCAGGACCTGGATGTCTATTTCTTTCCCCATATTGGGGAAGTTTTTGGCTATTTTTTCTTCAAAAAGACTTTCTACTCCTTTGTCTCTCTCTCCTTCTGGGATGCCTATTTTGTGAATATTGTTTCATTTGGAGTTGTCATACAGCTCTCTTAGCATCATCTCATTTTTAGAAATTCTTTTTTCTCTCTCTTCCTCAGCTTGGTTACTTTCCTGTTCTCTATTTTGCATCACATTGATTCTTTCCTCTGATCCCAGCAGTCTGCTGTCCATTCCCTCTGCTGTGTTTTTTATTTCAGTTATTGTATTCCTCAGCTCTGAGTGACCTTTTTCATATTTTCTCTCTCTGTTGAAATCCTGAGATCATCAGTTCTTTTCCCCAGTTCAGTGAGTATCTTTATGACTGTTACTTTGAATTCTTTATCAAGAGGATTGCTAATCTTCATTTCCTTTAGCCCTTTTTTCACTTTTTTACCTTGTTCTTTTGTTTAGACATATTTGTCTTCCTTCTCATTTTATCTGGGTCTCTATGTTTCTTCCTTTGAAGATCAGGTATGCCTTCAAGTCTTAAAAATAATGGCTTTATGCAGTGGGTGTCTGTGGTGTCCAGAAGCTCAAGACTCACTGCTCACCAGTGCCTGGTTCTCTTTTGTGGCTGAGCTGCAGTTGCTGTTGGTGGGCTTGGGCATGGCCCACCTTTCTACTTGTCTGCTAACAATGTCTGATCCCGACAGCTAGCCTCTCTGTGATGTGAGGTGCTTCTTCCTAGATTCATTATGTGTGGGCCATCCTCTGCCTGCCAGTCAGCAATGGCAGACCACTGCTGGGCCAAGCGTGCTGGGCAGGCAGGCACGCTATGGGGTGCTGGGGTTGAGCCAATGGGGCAGGTGGAGAGCTTAAAGCTGGCTCCTGAAAGCCTCTGGCCAGTTGAGCTGAGGGAGGGCTGGGAGAACCAGCAAAGTGCAATCTGCCCTCTGCCTGCCAGTCTGCAAAATTGGACTGCTGCTGGGCCATGTGTGCTGAGCAGGGCAGGCTCACAGGGGAGCGCCACTGTGTGGCTGAGCCTTTCAGAGCTGCCTCCCACAAGCCTCTGACCAGTTGGGCTGAGGGATGACTGGGAAAGCCAAGAAAGTATTATCCGCCTTTCACAGCCAGTCAGCGTCAGACCAGCTGGACTGAGCGGGCCAGGTGGGGTGGGGATGCAGGAAAGTGCCTTCCTGGAGTTGAGCCTCCAGGGAGGAAGATGGAGCATTTGGAGCTGGCTCCCACAAGCGCCTAACCAACTGGGTCGTCTGCCTGCCCTTTCTCCTCCAGAGCGAGCTCCCTCCGACCCCGCCTGCCCCTCTGGCTCACTTCCTACTGCTGGTAAATCTTACAAACTGTTGCCTCTGTGTTGGGTCTCAATGGAACCAACAGAGCATGCCTGTTTTCCACAAATGACAGGAACCTCAGCCCTCCAGAGTGCCCCAACTCTACCTGGTGTCCAACCCCGTTCATCACTGAAGCCCAGTGCAATGTGGACTCGTATTCCGGGAGCAGATCTCCAGGGCCAGGTGTGCCAGATTCCTGAATGTGTATCCCCTCCCTACTCAATTCCTCTCCCTCCTGCTTGTGGGCTGGTGTGGGGAAGGGTTTGGGTCCTTTACCCTTCTCGATGGGGTCCTCTCTTCATCAGGTGTAGACAGTCTGTTCTGCAGTCTTCAGGCTGTTTTCGGGGTTAGTTGTGTTTGTTGTAATTGCTTCCTCGGTGTGTACATTTTTGCCTTGCCATCCTGCTCAGCCATCTTTTTGCCACCTCAAGAAGAATTTCAAATTCTTCTTTTTTTGATAGTCTTCCAGGGAGGTAAAACTACTTGTCAGGAAACAGATGAGTTCAGCTTTTTTAATTTACAAGTTCAGGGTACTAGTTTGCTCAAGAACTAGGGCTGGGCCCTTTACCACTTAGAAAAAAGGAAATGCCTTTTCCCTGATTTTGTAGCTCAGCAGTGTGGCACTGAGGTTGCTTACAGTTTCTGCAATATGCCTAAAACTTCAAACACACCATGACTACTTGTATTATGGCCCGAATTTGTAATGAATTTAGGTTTCTGATTTTGTTTCCTCTTTTCATGTGACATTACCTTTCTCTTGACATTAAAACTGTTTCATTTGGTTTCTGTCTCTGCCCCTGTCTGGCAAATGAATAGGCTTTTAAATGTATAGAGAGGAATAATTGGGTGGGAGTTGATGATTGATGAAGGAAGATCTAGAATGAGAAGGAGCCAGCCTTCCAAGGAATAGATTAAAAAGTATCGTGAACAGTGGGAACAGCATATGCAAAGGTTCTAAAGCAAGAAAGACACGACTCCATGACAGAACCCAAAAAAGATTGAAGAATAGCAATTGGAGAACACTGGTAAAGGAAGGAAGCAGTAAAAGACAAAAACGATGTAAAGCTTTTTAGAAAACACCTCTGGCAACTGAGTATGCAGAATGGATTGGAGAGGAAATGGAAAACAATTCAGGAGTCTATTGTAGTAAGCTTGATGGTGGCTTGGATTAGGATTGTGGCAGTAAAAATGAAAATGGTCAAATTTTAAGTACACTTTTGGAGGTAGAGCTAATAGGATTTGATGATGGATTAGAAGGAATGATAGAGAAAGGATCAAATACAATTCTCAGGATTATGGCTTTACTAACTGCAGACACTGAACAGATGGGAAAGACAGAAAGATTTATGAGTCTGAAGGCTGGGCTAGGGATTATAAATTCATGAATTGAAAAACAAAATGGATGGGATAGATGATATGATGTGGGGAGGATGTACATAGAAGAGGGCCTGCTAGGAGCCCTGGGGCACTCCAACATTTGGGGTCCAGTAATGGAGAAACAATAACCAGAAAATGAGATGAAGAAGAAATACCCAGAGAGACAGAAGGACACCAGGGATAGCCTGCTATCACAGGGACTAAGAAGAAGGGATCAGATGCCACTTAGTTATCTATTACAGTAACAAGAAATGTGTAAAGCCCTCTGAGGAAAATTTAGACTCCCAAAAGGGACAAAAGTAGACTTGAACAGTGGAAAGACATCCCTTGATGTTGTATAGAGCAATACAATATCATAGATAAACTTTATGAATTTAATGTAGGAATCTAATAAAAACACCAACAAGGATTTATTTGTTTGGTGGTTGTTTTCCCCTGGAACTATGCAGATTGATTCTAAAGGTCATGTAGAAAATTAAACGTGCAGGAATAGCTAGAAAAACCTTTAAAGAAAGAAAGAAAGAAGAGAGTCCACCAGATAGTGAAATATAATCTCTATAATTAAAACCATGTGGTACTGATGCACAGATGGACAGAGCAATGAAACAGACCAGGAAGTCCAGAAATAAACTGAAGTACGTAGGAAAACTTAGTATATGATAAAAATGGCATATTAAATCATAGGGAGAAAGATGGACTTTTTAGTAAATAGTGTTGGAACAACTTGGGTAACCATTTGTCAGAAGATAAAATTGGATTCATACCTTACACCGTATACCAAAATAAACTCCAAATGGATCAGAGATCTACATATAAAAAATGAAAACATGAGTACTAAAAGAATATATGATTGAATTACTCTATAACCTGAGGAGAGCCTTTCTCACTATGGCTTAAAATTCAGATGCAATATATGAAAAACTTGTTAAATTTAACTACATATATTAAACAACTTTGCACAAAGGAAAAAATGGACGGCACTGTGGTAGGTCAGCCTTGTAAGATGGTCACAGTGATCCCCACCACCTGGTAGTCATGCATTATACAAGGTGTAACCCTCCTCCCTTGATTGTGGGATGGCCTTAGTGATTTCCTTCTAGTAAAATCAAAATTGGCGAAAGAGATGGGATGTTTCTTTTGAGATGAGGCTACAAAAGACTGTGACTCTGACTTTCATCTTGCTTGCTCAAATCAAGATGCTGGGGTACAGGAAACTGCCTTATGAGAAACCAGCATGGTAAGAACTATTGGCTCCTTGTATGTAGAAATGCAGGGGATTTTTGTGTGTTGATCGTATATGCAGAACACTGCTTAGTTTTCTTTTAATGATAAATAGTTTATATGAAAATCTTGATTTCCTTTGAAGCAAGTCATATTGTTGATAAGTAATTTAGTTTTATTCCTTGCCCAATCATTTACCAATTTATTTATTTGTCTCACTGTGCTGGCTAGAAAATGCATGATAGAAGCATCCTTGTTTCTGTTTGTATGAAGAATGCTTCCAAGGGTGCCCCTTTACTAATGATATTTGCTGTAAGTTTTTGGTAAATAACCTTTATTAAATGAAGGAAGTACCCATCTATTCCTAGTTTAGTAAGAGTTTGTATCATGAAGTATTGTATCTTTTAGAAGGGTTTTCTGCATCTTTTATCAGATTAATGAAATTCACTTTTATTCCTAGTTTGCCAAGAAATTTGGTTTTATTTCTGTCTATGAAGCATCTTGAATTTTATTGAGAAATCTTGAAATCTATTGAGACCCTATGGTTTTTGTCTATTAATCTGAGCCCTGTTCTTTTTTCACCCAGATACAAAATGATCTCTGAATTCACTTGGCCCAACCATGACCTTCCTTCAGACAAAGAGGCTGTCAAGAAACTGATAGAACGTTGCGGTTTTCAGGATGATGTAGCTTATGGGAAGACCAAAATTTTCGTTCGAACACCCCGAACATTGTTTACCTTGGAAGAACTTCGCTCCCAGATGCTTGTGAGGATTGTCCTCTTTCTACAAAAGGTAATTTTATATTTCACACATAAGGATAACATCTTGCTTTTGTGTTCTTAAAAATTAGTTGAACGTTTTCTTTGATTCAAGCGTGATCATGTGTTCTTTGTATCTGCACATATCCTAGGATGTTTTCTGTTGCCTTCACACATGGAAAATCTATTTGGCTGCCTGAGTTCAAAATTATTTTATCCTCAAAACTCAAGACATTTTGTCTTCAGGTACTTACAGTTGGAAAGACATCTGAAGCAGCTTACTTTTTCTCTTGTAGATAACTGAGTTTATTTTCCCTCAGCTAAGCTACATAAAATAAAGGAAAGACTGAAAGATTTATGAGTCTGAAGTCAGAACTAAAGGCTGGGCTAGGATTATAAATTCATGAATTAAAAAACAAAATGTATGGAATAGATGAGATGATGTGGAGAGGATGTACATAGAAGAGGACCTGCTAGGAGCTTGGGGCACTCCAACGTTTGGGGTCCAGCAATTTTATCTTGTAATTTGAAAGTTTTGCCAACATGTTTGAAACCACCTCCCTGCCCCATCATTACCCGCTGCCAACCCTTGACTGAGGTGTTGGCTGAATGACGCCCGTTGGATCATGGTCCCTGTCATCGTTACTCTGTGCGGGGCCTTTTCTCATTGCATTCACCCATGTTTCCCCTTTATCCTCCATACTATTTCCATACCCTCCATATGCAGTACTTGAATGTAAAAAATTATAATGTATATTTTTAAAAATCATGTGCCTTATAAGAATGTCCTTGGGATATATATCAGGAGAAAAGTTGTTGGGTCCTAGGTATATGTAGACCTGATTGTGTTAAGTCTTGCAAAGTTCCTCTCCGCAACAACTCTTCAGCCATGTCACTGTGTCGCCTGCATCCTTACTGGTATCATCCAGCTACCTAAATTTTGCCAGACTAATAGGTATAATGGTGTCTTGTTGTTGTACTTTGTATTTGTCTGATTAACCTTGAATCTAAGCATCTTATTAAATGCTTGTCCACTTTTTGAGTTTCACTGCAAACTGCCAGTTCATATCCTTTGTTCATTTTTCTACTAGAATTGGTATTATTTTTTTGTTGATTAGCAGTTATTCCTTGAATATTTTACACATTAATCTCATACTTACTCAGACATTATAAATATAACTTCACCCCTAATATGTTTTGTTGAAAAGAATCCTTAATTTTGACATAATCAAATTCTTTAATTCTTTGCCTTATATATTGTGGTTTGGAATTTTAAGATGGCTTTCCTTGTCTCTGGATCACAAGGATACTATTCTGTGTTTTTGCCTATTAATGTATACAGTTGACCCTTACACAACACAGTTTGAATGCACTGGTCCACTTGCAGGCATTTTTTTTCAGTAAGTATGTTGGAAAATGTTGGGGAAATTTGTGACAATTTGAGAAAACATTTTCCTATCTCTAGCTTACTTTATTGTAAGAATACAGTATATAGTACATGTAAGATAGAAAATATGTGTTAATCAACTGTTGATGTTATTGGTAAGTCTCCCAGTCTACTTATTAATAGTTAAATTTGGGGGAATCAAAATTTATAAGCATACTTTCAACTATGCAGGGGTTCAGCACCCCTAACCTCCACATTGCTCAAGGGTCAGCTCTAGTTTTACCCTTCGCATTGGGTCTTTAATCCATTTAGAATCCACCTGTGTATGTGATTTTATATAAGAATCCAGTTTCATTTTCTTATATATGGTGAGTCAGTTATCTCAAGACCATTACTAAGCAATCTCTCCTTTTACCCATTGATTTATGATACCATTTTTATCATGTACTATCACATATATATATAAAAAACATATCTCCAAGTTTTTATATTTGTCCATTTTTGCACTGATGCCACTTATTTTCACTGTAGTGTGTCTTAGTGGTACTGTGTCTTACATGCTAGGATAAGTCATCTTCTCTATTCTCCTGTATCAACCTGTATGTAGACCTCCTTGGTCAACCTGTATATAGACGTTTATTCTGCAATATAAAATTTTAATGTGTGCTTATTGTGTTCATAAATTCAATAATAAATTTAATTGGATTGCTTTGAATTTGAATATAATTTGAAAGGATTAACATTTCTACAATATTAAGTCATCTTAAGAATATGGAATAGGCTTTTTTTTTTTTTTGAGAGGGCATCTCTCATATTTATTGATCATATGGTTGTTAACAACAATAAAATTTTGTATAGGGGACTCAATGCACAATCATTAATCAACCCTATGCCTAATTCTCAACAGTCTCCAATCTTCTGAAGCATAACGAACAAGTTTTTACATGGTGAACAAGTTCTTACATAGTGAATAAGTTCTTACATGGTGAACAGCGCAAGGGCAGTCATCACAAAAACTTTCGGTTTTGATCATGCATCCTGAACTATAAACAATCAGGTCAATTATGATTATTTGTTTGATTTTTATACTTGATTTATCTGTGAATCCCACATTTCTCCATTATTATTATTATTATTATTATTATTATTATTGGAATAGGCTTATTTTAATCAGTTCTTCGACCTTTATACTTAGAGCAGCCTTATGAATCCATGGTTAATTCCTAGATATGATTGGTTTTGTTACTGCTATAAATATTTTCTGTATGGCATTGTTGGTACAGAGAAGTAACACTGGTTTATGTTCCATATGTATCCAGCACGAACCTTTTCTTAATTCATATTTGTGATTCTGTTAGTTTTTCTGGAGAAATGATTATCACCTGCAAATAATGAAGGTTTCTCTTCCCTTTCATTGGTGAGATATTTTAAGTGTTGGTCTCTTTCATTTATTTTGCCTAGAACTTAGTAAAGTCTGTGGAGTGAAATACCAAATTGTCTCATTCTAAACCCATTTCCCCCTATTGTTTTTTATATTGCCTTTACTCAGTTCTGTTTTCTTTCCCCAGACTGCTTGTAAATTTGCAAGTTGGATCTGTTTTCTGTCTGCCGTAGTAAATTTTGGTCATGCATCTGTTCTTCTGTATATTCAAATCCTTTCTTTTGATCTTCAGTACTTGGTAGCGGTGCCTTGTTGAAGATCTGGTACTTCGTTTCTCTTCTTTCTATCTCCCCAGGAGATTGAGGCCCAGGCTTTGACCATGAGCCACAGTAACCCTGCCTCTTATTTTGATTGGGACAGTCATGTTATCTGTTGTCAATATCAGCAGTACCCTTCACTCTCCAAAGTGTCTCAGTATGGATAATAAACTGTGTAGTCACCCTGCCCTGTACTGACTGTTCACTTGGTGGCCGGTAAAATCCTCTTAAATCCGCAGTAGAAGTTTGTTGACAACCACAATTGTCAGCATCCCACAAACTTTAGTCTCATACATCTCTGCTAGCCAAAGATAGGGCCACCCTTCCCCCTCACAGCCCCATGGCCTAGCTTGTGCATAAACAGTTACAATTCCAGATATACACCCCTACCACAGCTCCCCCTTTCTCAGTCCTCTCTATAGCACCACTGCATTCTTCCTGGTCAGAAATTATAATTTTGCCTGAGAGAGAGATTCTAGAAGACAAGGAATGGCTTCCTCCAGAACCATCCATCCCACTACGGAAGAATGCTGTCCCGTCCTCTCTGTGATACAGATCTTCCGTTTCCTAACCATGAGGCAGTGGGGTGGGGAATAAGGGTCTTCCTCTGAATTCTCAAGCAGACCATTTTAGGCTATGATATATGTGGTCTACTGATTATGTTCTTTCAACCAACTCCACAGGACATAAAATAAGTGGAAATTTCCCTCAGCCTCTGGGAATAGGACATCAGTCACCTAACTTTCCATGTGGTGTGTGTTTTTATTTTTTTCTGTGTCCTTACAGTAATGTACTTGGAAGTTAGGAGAGCAGTATCAGGAGATGCTATTTTTTCTTTTATTAAATAATTTTTTGTGTTGAGGTCATATAATAAAATACACAAATGGTAAGTGTACAACTTGATGAATTTGGCATGTGTATACACTCATGTAACCATTGCCCAGATCAAGATATTGAACATTTTCACTAATATTTTTCCCCCTTCACTTATTTTCCCCATTCCCCACTCCCTCACCTATGGCAACCACCATTCTGTTCTCTGAGCCTGTGAGTCTATTTGTTTTATTTCTTAGGTCCCACATATATGTGTAATCATATGGTATTTGTCTTTATCTGACTAATTTTACTTATCATAATATCTTCTATGTCCATTCATGTTGTCACAAATGGCAAGGTTTCATTGTTTTTTATGGCTGAGTAATATTCCATTATATATATATACTGCATCTTCTTTACCCATTCATCTATCCATAGATAACTTAGGTTGCTTCCATATTTTGGCTATTGTCAATAATGCCATGATAATCATAGGGGTGCATATACATTTTCAAATTAATGATTTTGTTTTCTTCACTAAATTCCCAGAAGTGGAATTTGGGGTCATATAGTATTTCTATTTTTAGTTTTTTTGGGAACTTCCATACTGCTTTCCATAGTGGCTGTATCAGTTTGCAACCCCACCAAGTAGGCAGGAGGGTTCCCTTTTCTCCACATCCTTGTCAACACTTGTTATTTCTTGTCTCATTCTGAATGGTATGAGATAATATCCCATTGTGGTTTTGATTTGCATTTTCCTAATGTTGACTGATGTTGAGCATCTTTTCATGTACCTGCTGGCCATCCATATCTCTTCTTGAATATCCATTCAAGTACTTTGCCCATTTTTAATTGGTTTGCTTGGGTTTTCTTTGTGTTGAGTTGTTTGAGTTCTTTATATATCATGGGCATTAGGCCCTTGTCAGATGTATCATTTGCAAATATATTCTCCCATGCAGTAGGTTGCCTTTTTGTTTTGTTTTTGTTTCCTTTGACATGCAGAAACTTTTTGGTTTGAGGTAGTCCCACTTATTTATTTTGCTTTTGTTTCTCTTGCTTAAGGAGACAGATCCAGAAAAAAAATTGCTAATGCTGATGTCCGAGAATTTACTGCCCATGTTTTCTTATAGGAG